AGCAAAAAAAGAAGCCACAAATCCAGACTGTGTGTTTAATCCATTTAGTAAGTTTTTTTTTTTAATTTTATTTTTTGTATTAAAGATTACAAAAAAATATACTTTTGTGTTTTTTCACACATTGAAAGAACATTTTTGACACAAAGTTTGTTGCAGAATTTTGAAAGACATGAAAAACAAAAGCAGAAAAAAAAATGCTCACTACTGCATAGATGTTAAAATAAAATTAAACATGACAAACATATGACCATTTATATATATTTTCTTATAGCATCTTGTTTCATCCCACCTTTTAGGTCCTCAGAGATGAACCATGGTTGTTCTATTGTATTGTTCCTGCTCTGAAGAGCATATATACGAGTGCACATCTTTTTTTTACATTTAGCTAGAGGTGATTGCACTCAGAACATCAACATTAAACTCAACATGACATTTGCACCAGGGTGGCCAGAGCAAGGATGGGCACTTTTACAGTTAATGTTGGTGGCAACTTTCTCTCATGCAGAAGAGCCTGAATGCAAACAAAGGGGGGACGCTGACAACCCTCAACTAGTTAAAGAGGGTGACATTATGTTGGGTGGACTCTTTTCTTTCCATACCAACTGGAAGGAAAGACAGGACTCCTACACGCAAAAACCTCAGCCTCTACAATGCACCAGGTAACTTTTATCAAAATGATTAATAAAAAAAAGGTCTGTGACCAATTTAATAATAATTGTTGATCAGATTTGGCTAAAAATACTAATGCTTTCCAAATTAATGAGTACATTTAAAAATACTGACTGATGTTTGTGTAAATATTTTAATTGTTTTTGTTGTTGTTGTTGTTATCATTTATAAGATACAGCTTTATTTTTTAGAGAACACTGACAATAATAAAATATTTCTAACTGTTCAAACCTAGCTTAAATTTCAGAGAATTCCAGTTAGCCCAGGCCATGCTTTTTGCAATCAAAGAAATAAACAACAGCTCAGACCTGCTGCCGGGAATTTCCCTGGGTTATAAAATTTATGATACCTGTGGCTTTATTGCCAGAAGTGTAAGAGTTGCTTTGGCCTTGGTCAGTGGTAACGAAATAGTGACTTCCCCTTTGAAGACATGCTCAAGACCTGCACAAGTGCAGGCAATAATGGGAGAAACCTCTTCTTCTCCCAGCACTGCAATCGCTACTTCTATTGGACCGTTTCATATTCCACTGGTAGGTATGACTGTTACAAATTAAATGTATATTTAAAAATAATATATTGATACTACAAACAACTGTGTATGTAAAAATAGTTTATATCTAAGAATGTATTTATCATTTTTTCATGTAGATCAGCCACTTTTCTACATGTGCTTGTCTCAGTGATAAATCAAAGTACCCATCCTTTCTCAGAACCATACCCAGTGACTACTATCAGAGCAGAGCTCTGGCTCATTTGGTCAAACACTTTGGTTGGACCTGGGTTGGAGCTGTTCGCTCAAATGAAGACTATGGAAACAATGGCATGGCAATATTCACAGAAACTGCAGAGCAGCTGGGCATCTGCCTAGAATATTCTGTTT